AGAAAGTGCATATGCATTAATCCTTCACTCCATTCACTAGGAGGCTATGGTGCAACACGGATAAACAAGAGAAGATTAACATTATCTTCTACAATGACGTCACTAGTGTCTTACAGCAAAACTATTGAAAACCTGAAAGGAGAGCATAATACCTAATACAAGGAGAGCATAAACAAACAAGAAAAGTTGTAAAACTAATTATACCATGCTAATTAGTAATAACGCAATCATGACAAACCCCTCACACGCCATGTGTGTATAGATATTCGCAACAGGAATTCAATGGACTATGATAATTTATTTTCAATTCACGGTTTACAATCTGCCTCGACCTGTAGCAAGGTGAATTAAAGCGAACTGAATACGCGAGGCACACACATCAGTCAGTATAACCGCTTGAATCGTACCCTCTGGCACGACCACACTAGAACATTATGCCATATTAATCAATCGCTGATCATCGACTTGCTTAAAGTTTATCGGTTGGTTGTTGCAAGGCACTAAGGGACGAATTCCTTGCTCAAGGGAAAAAATATCTTAACATATTCATTACCCCCACTCGCTTAACTACTGAGTTTTCTAAAATCCAGTGTTAATACCCAAGCCCCTGTTTAGCAAGTTACCTGTATTAGAGAAGAACATGTGCAAGTAAAAGCATTCTATACCTTAACACTACCATGCCGACACGACAAAATTTACGGTACAAGCGAAAGTAACAAACCCTGAAATCTGATAGCGACGCCATCAAGCTGTCCAATTCCTTGGATGCGACAGAAGCAGCGGTTCCAGGCCTTTTACTGAAGAGACCAGTTACGAACTAAAACTGGCCTAAAACCAGAAAGCTTACTTTTCACTGGACACAGCCACGTTCAATTCTCCCAGCAAACTTTCTACGGTTGGTCTGCCTGGTGTTCCACGATCTAGTAAAGGAAAGGAATACACATGTAAAGGAAAAGGAACACAAACACATGATCAGTTGTAAACTACATCGCCTTAAACTGAGAATAATAATAGATTTCTGAATATTTCGTAAACAGTCGTCACAGCTGAAACTATCGCTGAAACCTGAGTATCATATGAATTCAAATTCTTCAAAGTCTACCTCGCAGCCTCGTTGCAGAACAATACAAAACCTAACGAGAGAACAAGACAGTAAATACAGTGTGTATTACTGAAACGCTAAGGTAGTAACGAGGACTGCATAAACAGCGATCTATGCAGTTAAGGCAGTCACGTTTATGTGAAAAACAGTTTAAAAATCTGGCACTGGGAATGCGATGTGCCACCATGCGTTAATTCTAACAGAAAGCATGGAAAAGAATTTACTGCTTGTCGTTAACTCTCTGAACGCGTAAGGAAGATTTGGAAAAAAAACATGACTGAAGGATCGAAACAATGCATGTGTGTAATACGGGTAATGGAATAAAAACCTTGAA